GCCCCGCCGAGCCCTGCTCGGACCGGCGGGGCCTCTGCGGGCAGGGGGGCGGCGGGGAGGCGGAACGGGCCGGGGAGGGTGCCCGGCGGGGAGCGGGCGGCTCCTGCGGGCCCCGCCGGAGCTGCCGGCGGCCTCCCGGTCCTGGCGAGCCGCGGTGCTGCGGGTTTCGCCCACAGCAGCGATGTGGAATTACCGGCTCCGTCGGTAAGGTCGCGGCCGCGGGGAGCTGGCAGAGTGCAGAGCGGTTCGCAGGGTGATTTACAGGCACGGCAGGGGCGGGCTGGGATCGGGACAGCCGTCGCTGAAGAGCTCTAGGTGTGTTGGGAAACAGGTGACTGGAAGCTGGACGGCCAAGAAAACTTGCTCTCTGAAGCTTTCACGTAGAAAACATGTACCTCTTGGCTATTGTGGGACTTGGTCGAGGCCCGGGCTGTTTACAAAAAGGGGACAGATTCATACCATGCCAAGAAAAAAAATAGATTAAACAGGGGCACAACTAGGAAAAATATAACATTATCTGAAAAGTTCTATAAATAATACACCAAAATTAAATGAGTCATCGTGATGTCAAATTTATTTTTATTCCCATCATAAAATGTTGAGGACCTTGTAACAAAACTTTTCAAATGCCTTTTCTAGATCAAAGGTTACTGAGAAAAGCCCTTTGTGGTTAACTCAGTTTGGTCAGTGCTGAAGTAGCAATGACAGGCACAGCTCTTCAAATCCTGCTAGTGCTGAGGGTGCTCCTGAAACTGAAACCACTACATTGCCAACATAATAAAAATAAAAAACTGAGGCAGAGGATGGAGCTTGTATTTTGGGACTTTTTGGCAGAGATTATTAATTTGCCCTCTCAATTGAGGTTTTGATTGAATTAATACAAAAGGACAACTGGTGCCACTTGTGAGTTTTAAGTTGTGAGTTTTGTTTAAATTCTATTAATCATCTGTGAGAAAAAAACCAAAACACTTCTACAGAAAAGGCTTAAATCTGTGGGGCTTCTAAGAGATTCCTGCCCAGAGATCTTGGTATGTTTTTTCCCAGTTTGGTTTAACTCCTCTTGTAGCACAGAAGTACAGTTAGACTACAAGAGAAAAGATGAATACTTGTGTCTTACCTGCTGTCATCCAGGAGCTTCAGTTAGGGGGTGGTTGGTACATCATCGCAACAGAAAAAACACAAACAAAAAACAACAACCAAAAAAAAACTTCCAATGATAAAAAAAGTAACTTCCAAGGGAAAAGGGAATGGAAAGCCCCTTAGGTATGGAACAATAAAGGAGTATGAGATTAAACCAGATGCTTACCTGTTCCCCTAAGAAAGAAAAAAAATCCACCTGCCAATACCACATTCCTAAGTTTCCATGGCTGTAGTGCTGAGGGCAGGGTGACTTTTAATGGCATGGAAAACCATTCCTGTGTGGTTTGACATTGTGTTCTGCTCACACAGTTGACTGCATCCAGCTGAAAGTGCCAGTGATTCAGCAGCTGTACCACTGGGACTGCGGGCTGGCCTGCTCCAGGATGGTGCTTCAGTAAGTGGCTCTCTTAGAGTGGGAAATCCCATTCCATGGGGAGGGGTAGCAGGAAGCAAATCCCAGGGAGAAGAGGTGTGTTGAAGCAGCCATGAGTTCAGTCTTAGGAGAGTAACAGTTTTTGAGATACCCTTGGACAGCGACTGCTGCTTGGGCCTGGCCCAGCTCTCCAGCAGGAGCAAGGGAAAATATAAACTGCAGTGAACTTTGGACCCTTTTGAATAATTGACTAATTAGATAGATGCAGAATACCTAATCAGCTCTATGAACTTTGCAGGCTGGTATGCATAAGCTCATAGAAAGTGTTGCCTCTTTCCTTTTGTTGCAATTCAGAACTGATAGTTAGCTGTGACTCACCTGATTCCTTTCTGTGTATTCAAGTGATGGGTAGGTGTATCCCAGTTTATGAGTGTGTGCTGTACTATCTCTGTCCTGCTGAGCCCCAACCTGTGGGATGAGTGTTTGTGTTCCAGGAGTAGTTTCAGCTTCAAAATAGTGTTGCCCTTTGGGGTGTTTTTTTGTTGTTGTTTTTGTTTATTTTTGGTTTTACCTTTTTTTGAACTAGTAGCTGTCCTGCTGAACTCCTCTTTCCTTCCACAGAGGAACATGAGCTTAGGTGCAGGAGAAATACCTATTTAGATGTCCACTTAGTAGATATGAAGCAGAAGATTTTCATTTCTCTCCATCCCTTCTGCCAAGACGTTAGTCCGTGTGCTGGTAATTTCCCATCTTGACTACTGTAACCTCTATTCCCTTTACCTGTTTGCCACTCCAGTCTGCCCAAAACTCAGCTTCCAAGATTAATCTTCTCACCCTGCTGATCTGACCTTGTTTGCCCTACATCCTCAATTCCAGTCCCTGTTTATTTTTCATCATTCCATTTGTTTTCTTACTTTCAGAACTCCCTGTAACTACCTCACCCCACCCCTTTGCAACCTGTCCCAAGCTTCCTCCTGACTTCATCTCCCTCTTTCTTCCTTTTATGTCATCAGTGCCTAAGACAAGCTTCCTTTGAATATTTACTGAATTCCTTTATGGCTCCTCCTTTTAAAATCCATCTATTGTGTGAAGGAAGTTTTAGTCTTTGACTCTTCTTTCTGTGTTGGCTCTAATACACTTGTACATTACACTGTAAACCCTTCAGGACAGAGTTCTATACCAGCTTGCCTCTGGTACAGCACCTGTACACTTGTAGCACTCTAAAATAGTCAAGGAACCACACATTTCCAATTTTAAAAAGTCAGCAATAAATCCAGTTAAACATTCCCTACTCCCTTCCCTTAAATTTCTGTTTTCTTTGTGGGTTGGTTTGGTTTTTTTGTTTTGGTTATTTCTTAGCCAAGCCCACTGTTTCAGTTTTTATGTGCTGTGATGTAGAGAGGCTTGGGCTACAGCACACATTTTCCTTCTCCTAAGATCTGTGCTTCCCTTCCCCTACCTTTCCTATACCATAGGTACCTGAATCATTTGGACAATGATGAATTTCAGAAAGCCATCCAGGAACTCCAGTTAACAAAGAGTATCTGGACTATTGACCTGGCCTACCTAATGCGGCACTTCGGAGTTAGGCATAAATTTTGCACCCAGACACTCGGAGTGGACAAGGGCTACAAAAATCAGGTCAGTATTCTCACCCACAGGGGGAGAGCAGGCAGCTTTAAAAGCCTCAAGTATCATGCTACAAAAACTCTGCTGTGTTACTGACAGTCAGCCACGGTTAATTCGACCTACTGCCAAAATTGGCACAAGTCTGTTCCAAAGGCAGTATGATCCCACATATTGATTCCATCTTTTGAATTTTTAAAAAGTTTGCATGTAGTGTTCATGAAAGGTTCCAACCTATTTGACAGCCTTGGAGACTGAAGCCCTGTATTTATCTACAGAACAGGTACAGCCTGGCCAGCAGCAGTGTTTAGCTTCCACACTTTCCCCACCACCGTGCCTCAGCCTTGACCTGGAAGATCCACCTCTAGAGGTGAGAGGGGAACTCAGCCTCCCATCCACTGAGAGCTTGGCCTCTCCAGGACTGCCCACAAGGGGCCAAGGAGGGCCTGTAGCAGCCGTGACTTTATTGCAAGCTCCCGCCCAGTTTCCCCTGGGAAACCAGATGGGCTTCTCTCATGTAGGCAGCTGAACAGCCGCTGGATAGAAACCGCAGCAGTAACTGACCAGGAGCCATTTAATTTGTGATTCAGAGCAAATTGTCCTGTTTCCAGTGAACTAAGGGAGAGATCTTTTATCCCATAGCCAGATCTCCAAATTATGCTGGCCCTTGCTAGCAGACTAAGTGGTGGATTACCCAAGGTAAACACCATTCCAGTTCAGAACTTCTGTTATTTCCCCAGTCATTTTACAGGAAGCACTTTGACACAGAAGAGAATCGAGTGAATCAGCTCTTTGCACAAGCCAAAGACTGCAAGGTGCTGGTGGAGAAATGGTAAGCTTACTCTTTTCTTTCTCTTTGGAGATTCTGTGGGCCCCTGCTTTTCTTGGAGGCACCAAGCTAAACTGCTGAAACAGAACAAAATCAAGCCCTAAGCCTTTTTTTTGCCAACTAGTGTCTTTCTACTTTTTCTGTCTCAAAAAAACCAGTGTACATCAAGAGCTAATAATGAAGTTTGAAGAAAAATTAGCCATGATGCACAATAAGTGATAGGAAAATGCTGCTAACAGCTGACTGTGTTTTGAATTTGGTTATCCATTACACTTAGGCAGTAGGGAGTGCCTACAGCACTGTAATTGGCCATTGTCGGAATTAAAGAGAATGCTGTGTGGGTACAGAACTCATTGTTCCCAAAGCTGTGCAAACATGGATCTCTGTTCCCAGACAAACATGCAAAGTACAAGTTAGCATAGGAACTTTTGCCAAGGGGACTCCATGAAAGAACTGCAAACCCAAAAATGGAAAAACTACAGAATTTTCGTAATCAGCAGTGAAATTCTATTGGGGAATGACTAAGCATCCAACTTGAGCTGTGTCCCTTTTTATAGGGAAGCTGGGTTTGGATCCCTGTTGTCAAAGTGGGGTAAATGATATGGGGTAAGCCAAGAAGAGAGGATATGGGGCAGCCATATAGCATTTGAATGCTGAAGTGTAACTTATATTTAGCAGAATCAAGTGCCCTTTCGAATATGTGTGGAGACACTTTAACTACAGCTGTGACAGGACAAAAGGGACACTCAGTCCCTCTTGCTTTTACATTCTTAAGACTGTGGCCTTGATCAAGGCAGGGACAGAGGGCATATTTGCCTGTGCAGTTCTGAGGCTGGGGCATCAGAGTGGGGAAGTGACACTGGGAAAGATTAAATAAAAAGCACATGAGTTCAGTCAGGTGTCTGTGTGCACACAGCACAGACATCTGGAACAGGTCCAAGTGATGAGTTTCTCATGCATATGGAACATGCCATCTGCCTCAGTGAAGGACAGCTTTTAACAGATGAGGTTATAGGTGGTGTTTGGTGGATACTTACTCTCTGTGGAAATAAAGCCTCAAGAGTATCAGGCCATTCAAAACTTGGGCTGGGAGAAACACAGCCTGTGTGACACAGGCAAATTTGGGCACATCTTAATTTGGTTAGCGGTTACACAATATTTAACCACTCAGTTGATAAAGATTTGGTGTTTCAGAGATAAGCTTTTCAAACAGCAAGAGAGAACACTTCAAATTTTCCTACAACAGAAGTCCCTCAAGTTACTAAGTGAGTTGCCAGCTCCTTTAATTCTCTTCTCTGGGGCATCTGGTGTCATCTCAGAATGTGTTACTGCAGAACCTAGAGCTGTTGCTCTGCACTTCAGTAACAGCAGTGAAATGAAAAGGCCTTGAATGCTACAGGTTCTGTCAGGCTTTGTCCATAGAAAAGCCTGCAGGGTGTAACAACAAAGAGCTGTACCTGTGATATGGAAGTGTATCTATAGAAATGTGAGTCTCTAGAATATAATCTATCTATAGAAATGCCAGCTGGACTGTCCACCATCACACATTTCCTTTACACCTGCCTCTTTCAATAAGCGTGTCTGTTCCTTTCCTTGCAGCACAGTAACCGTTCAAGACATCCAAAACCACCTGTCCCAGGGTCATGTAGCCATTGTCCTTGTGAACGCGGTCCTGCTACTGTGTGATCTTTGCTCAAGTCCTGTCAAATATTGCTGCTTCCTTCCCATTGGACAGAAGTGTTTCTGCAGGAGCCCTGACTACCAGGGCCATTTCATTGTGTTATGTGGCTACAACAAAGCCTCAGGGAGTATCTACTACAACAACCCTGCCTATGCTGACCGTGAGTAGCCTGTCCCTTTTGGATGGATTCGCAGCCAGTGCATTGCTAATGAGTCTGACACAGCTGGACCTCCCCTCAGTGCACAGGCATTTCAAGCATCACTACCCAATTTGTCAGAAGGGGTTTTGCCATTAATCACATCACTGCTGCATTTTGTGGTGTGATTTAGTTGAAGCATTCAGATAGGCATTCCAGCAAATGGCTTGTTTGACTTTCAGATGGGTTAGTGAGAGATGCTGAAATGTCTATGTGCAGAATATAACAGAAGGGCCATTTTGGTATCTATTTGCAGCATTACTTCAGTGGGCTCTTTAAGGTGAAAAAATCTACCCAAGTGAATTGTAGCCTAAGCTGCTGGGTGTAGTCTCTGTACTAGTTTGGTTTGTGGATGCTGTTACATCCAGTGTAAGAACCTTTCACTGGCAACTCCTGAATTTTTTGTAACATTTTGTTCCTCCTTCCCAGGAACATGCTGCACCAGCATCAGTAACTTCGAGGAAGCCAGGACAAGTTATGGCACTGATGAAGATATTCTGTTCATCTACACAGACAGCTGACATCCACAGGGCACACTCCTGCTCCTTCCTGCACAGCTTGCACGGCAGCTGGCTGCTCGTCTCAGGACTCCCCTGCACACACCTCACTCCTGAACTGCAGTGGGACCTTCAACAAGGGAGGCTTTATAGACATTGACAGGACTGTAGTTCAATGCTGTCTTTACCTTTTTTTTTTTCTTTTTTTCTGATGATGTATCTGATTTTGCAATGTCTGTCTCTGGTTTTTTTGGTGGGGTTTTTTTTTTCCATAATTTTCAACATTGCACATTTGACAGCAGTTCTAAAATATAGGCCCAGAGCCTGTTCACTTTCAGCTTATTTTCAAATTAAACACATAAGAAAAAAGCACCAAATTTATGAACTTTAACACCTGGTAATATTTGCATAGGTTTAGGTAAACAAACAAAAAAAAATAGAAAATATTTGTTTCTATCTCTGTCAAAGCATCAAAGGCTGCTCTTCATCCAAAATCTATGGATTTGAAGTTCAGCAGAGTATTATAAATGGAAAAAATATTAACTTAAAATACTTTTAAATAATAAAATATGCCTGCTGGCTCATCAGTATAGTCTGCGATGTAGGAAACTTCCCATGTACCAAATTCACAGAGATTTAGCATTTATGCAACTGCAATATTGGAATTGCTCCCTTGCACTAAAAACTCAATCTCTTTTGGCTAAATCCTCTTGGATGACTGTTCAGAGCTCCAGATTGCTCCAAAACTTTAAGTGGAAGGATTTTATTTGCACTTGGAAGTCCTTATTGCTCTTTGCAAAAAAGCTCTGAAATGTTATGCCACCCACATGTGCCAGTTTCTGCAGAACCCGTTCTAAATATGAATGTTCTAAATATTTAAACTTATTAAGGAAATGCAGAAAATTATCATCCACACTGATGGTATATATTTTGTGTGTAAAGTGTAAATATCTGACAGCATCTACTGCATTGTGCCTAAAATGCTGAATCATAATTCAAGCCAAATTTTGCTGTTGGTATTAGTTTAGTGACCTTCTAAGAAGAGCTAAAATCAATTAAGAAAAGAGGAAATAAAAGCATACCTGCTACAAGTAAGAAGGCAGGAATGTGGATTTTTCAAGCTCTTATACTACAGCTGCATTTGGATTAAGCTGCTGCTGTGTTGAGACATTAAGTGAAATGGCAGCCCATTCATAGACCTTTCCTCTGTTACCTGAGGAGCACTCTGAAGTGTAAGAAAAAGAACACTTATTTCAGCTTCATCTATCCTACTTTCCTGTAAGTCTCAATCTTCAGTCCTGCCTATATGAAAGTGGGTAGGAGAATCGGCACTGATGTACAACTAGGAAAATTTGCACTTAAGACTGAGATCCCACATCTCTGGCATGGTTTTAGGAAAAGAACTGTTCAAGTTCTGGAACTGTGTGGAATCACAGTAAAAGGATATCGTTATGGATAACCAGTGGATATAATAAATAGGAATTGACTGTCAGCATAGAAAGTGTTTTTACCAAGATAAACATTTTCTTTTATCAGATGTTGGCTAACTGAAAAGTATACAGTGTTGACTAAGTACTTAGTAAAATCAAGAGTGCTTCTTTGTACAAAGGCAGAAAATAGTAACAGACACCTAAAATGCAGTAACCTTTAAAAAATTCCAAACAAAAGTGTGTGACATGAAATTCTGTGTGTCAGATTTTGCTTATCATTAGTGAAGTTTAAATACATTCTGGCACTGATGAGGAGCAGATAGGATGTGATTTGTGTAGAACCAGTCCATCAGTGCCACCAGCAGAATCCCTCCAGAAGAAAGGTACAAAACCTGGTGTAGATAATGCCTTTCAACTCCTCCAAAGTAAGTAACCAGAAGACTCCTGATCTGGGAATTTTTGTGTCCAGGGCCAAAATTGTGATGTTTGATGTAGAGAGAGTGTATTAGCTCAGTTAATAATTAACAGGTATGGAAGCTACAGGCTGTTAGAGTACTTCCTTAACCCATGCATTTTCAGGTAGGTAGCTCATTCAATACCATTAAACTGCCAAAGGATTTATTGTAGAGCAGGCTTGATTAGTTGAATAAAAACAATTCTTACAAAGGCTTATAATTGACATTCAGCATCTTACTGTTTCCGTTACCAAAAGTGAAGCCTGGGCATATAGAAAACATGAACTTAAGGGCAAGCTTGGTGTTCTGAAGTGCACACACAGGTGTCACAATATTGACTGGTAAGTGTTTGGTACGCAGGGTTTAAATGCTTCAACAAAAGTGAAAGATAAACAAAGCTGTCTAAGCTAGTGCAGACAAAAGGAGAGGTCCACTATTACAACGGGATCTTGACAGCTGCCAAATGGAAGATAAGAGATGAAAACACAAGGAAGAAGCAAAAGCCGAGTGAAAAGACTGAGTGTATGACACAAATTCAGCTGAAAAAGCAGCTCACTGCACAAGCATCCAGAACATCTGCATTTTCTGAAACTTTGTTTCCTATTACAGGATTGTCTATCAAAACACTCACTCTGAAAATGTTCTGTTGCTTTGTTTTTGTCAGGATGTCAATAGCAAAGGAAGGGGATTTTACATGCAGGGATTTTATACATAAATATATTTTTATTTGTAATTAAGCCATTCTCAATAAAGGTTAAACTCACAAATAACCATGTAACATAATGTAGCAAGTTCATTTATTAACAAGTTTAAATGTTTTTGAAAATCTGAAACTAATTTAGAAAAACAAAAGAGTTCAAATATTACAACTACAAATTTATACTTGCTGGGCTGTAAATTGTATTCAGTCTGCATTGCCTGAACTATTGCCATGACCCAAATCATATGAAGCAAAATTTCAGAACACAGTACACCTAAGAAGAACAAATGTATCATTACTACCTTTATTCCACAGCTGGTTTGTGTACTCTGCAGCCACCACAGATCCTACTGGAGTGCAGCCTCAGGGAAGGAGTTTTCCTTACCCATCCTGAACTTTCTGTTCACAGTGAGAAGCATGAAACTGCCCCAGCCTTGCCTGTGCATTTGGCCAGGGTCTCTATTTCTGCTTCCCATCAGGGCAGTGAGCTTTGGAAGATCCCAAAGCATCTCTCTGAGCACAACTTCTGCACCTTGAAGGGGCCCAGCAAAGACATTGCTCCAGCTGTGGCTGTGTAAAAGTCAACAGAACCAAAGTGGTCTTGCTTTGCAGCACCCACAGATCTTCAAAGAATGTCTGGGACATTACTCGGCTGTAACAGAACTGCATCAAGTAGAATGAGTAAGCAGAAAAAACAAATACAACCCAGATGAAAACAATTTCTGCTTTGTTTCTCCCTAAATTATGCTTTTGGGCAGAGGGTAAAAACTAGAAAGCAGAAATAGATGTACAATGCAAAATTTAGGTAAAAAATTTCATGTCCTCTGAACTCATCCTATCAACTATATCACAGTACACTGTATGTGTTTCTACTCTAGAAAAACACTGGATGTACTTCTGGCAAGGAACAAAACTTTGGACTCATTAGTGTAAATACCAAACACTTAAGAAGTCATTTTCAGTTATTTTACGTAACACAGTTTTGAATCTTATTATTTAAAATTGGTTACATGAAATTAAACTGACAACATTAAAACAGCAACTTGTGATTCACAGTAAAGCTATCATCCAACAGTAACTTCAAATTTGTCTTGTAACATTTGAGTGTAATGAGATGCTCTCTCTTACTCTTTGATGATATTGGGTATAAAGAAAGGCTGGATTGCTTCAGCAAGCTTTTCTGCATACATTTCATATCTACCAGTCATCTGGAAAGGAAAAATTAAAGCTTCAGTTCTTTCAGTGAGCTACAGAAGTACTTCAGTAGAAAATATTTCTATCCACTAGCTGTTTTTTTCTATGACAATACATTCAATTGTCCCAAACATCAAAAGTGTAATTCCCTCAAAATTCAAGATCTCCAGTGCCTTAGCACAAACTATATTTTATAAAAGAACTCATATTATGTTACCTAGGCCTGTATTTCTATCTGAAAAAGAAGCGTAGTTCCACTCTGAAAAGTCAAACTTTTAAATGAACACCTTCCTGTTTTGCAGGAACTGTCTCTTCCTTTGACACTCATGTCTGCTGACTTTCTAGATATTATAGTTTTTCTGGATAGCTGACAGTTGAATGTGAAAGGTGGACTTTCTTGTGCATCAACAATTTTTTAAGTTCTGTCAATGTAGGCAAAGGAGTGTCTCTGTAATTAGGGCTTCATGTTATGTCCTTGGCAACCAAGGAACCCTGTTGCCAGCGCTAAGTTTGTATATATGCCACTGACAGTGCTGGGGTTACTCTTACTTCACCCATTAATAATACAGAATATCAATGGTTTGGGCAACAGCAAGTGCTGGAAGTGCTGCAATACAGCAGTGATGTAGTGCTGTCATCCTCTTCTGAAGGGCACAGCCCACAGCACTGGCTCTGGGAGGGGCAAATTACATCTTTATTTAATTTGTTTAACCCCTTTGCTGCTCTAAGTTTAGAAAAGACATTCTATGGAATGTCCCTTTCAGGCAGCACTGGGTGCAAACTGCAGATATCAGAGCAGGTTAAATAGGCTCCTATTTGCTGTTTAGGATTTTCTGCAGTGGGTAACTTGTGACCCCTCCTCCTCATTCCCCACAGCAAGAACTACCTCTGTCTTGGCCAAAACTGAGAGGAAAAGGAAACAGCTCTCTCCTGTCACATAAACAAAATCACAGCTGTGCCTTATGTGCCAAAACCCAACAATAGCACTCCACACCATCAACATGAAATTAAGGTGCTGAAAGCACAGGATTTGAAGACAACAAAAAATACACAATTCTACACAAATCAGCCAAAGGACAGTGTTTTGCTTTGACTGTTTGTTTTTGCTAATCAATACAATTGCTTTTATTCAGATACCCCCCCTAAGCTGGTAGAAGCAATGCTCCATGTGCTTCCTGACACACTAAGCCTGTACTCTGCAGTAAGGGCCTCAGACTCTGGTGGCAAAGCAAAACTAAGTGCCTGCCTGACTTAAAAAAGTCAGCACAGAATCTCTCAGCACAACTTAATTCCATTATGGCAACAATTGCATGCCTACCACAGGCATCTGTAAAATAACAAATGCAGTTCTGTTCCAGAAGATGACCTGAAATTACTTCTTGGTTTTAGTCCCTATATATGGATTAGCAATATTAGCAAAGAAATTAACCTCTAGATAAAAAATTACTATTTTTTAAATTAGAAACCTTATTCAGCATTTCAAATTCACAGACTTTTCATTTTTATGTCAAATTGATGTCAAAACATGTTGAACATTGCACCATATTGTAATGCACAACAGACAAATAAACCAGCTCTATAAAATAAATGTCTGCTTGCAGTAGCATGATGTTCAAAAACTGACACTCCTTGCAAATGATTACTTATTTTAAATACTAGGTGATCACTTACAAACCTACATATATTGTACAGTTGCTTTGCCTAGCATTCTGGTCTACTTTGTTGATTTAAATCATGCTGATCTTAAGAGTAACTAGGAAAAAGTTCTAGTCTTTAGCAGTACTGAGGACTGGAACAAAAGATCTGTCTCCACAGAAGCAAGCAAGATGTTTCTTCATTGACAGAGTCTACTTCCAGAGTTGCCATTTCTTTTCTTTTTTTGTTCCAACAGAATCTTAGTGTGGCCTGTTGTAAACTTGATCAGAATAAAAAAAGAACTAGTGTTGTTTGATTAAAAAAAATAAATCTCCACTGGATCATTTTATAATATAGCACCCCACATAGCTTGCACTGGCAGAATTGAAGGGTTAGCAAGCTGCTGTGCTGAGGCAGCCATTTCTTCAACCAGCACTGCTGCTGGACAAATTAAATCCAATTATGCCCTCTGGAAAGATGAACCAAATTAGCTTTACCTCAGAATACAAAAAAATAGTATTAAATAAGGTTTGTTAAAGCCATATGGAGTGGCTTGCAGCTATCTTAATCTGATTTAGATAAATTCAAAAGTGTGTTAAGATGCTTCAGAGATGGATACAGTACACAGTTCTTTCTCTGTAGTTTCAACATATCCACAAATTCAGGAAGTTAACACTGCAAGAATTTTGCCTTCAGAAAGTTCTCAGAAGCTTGTGGGTTTGGGTTTTCACTAAATTTCTCCAAAACTGACAATTAAGGCCTTTAAGAATATATAATAGTACCATGTTAGATAGATCCAATGCCTGGCTCCACTCAGCAACAAATGCTTACATTCACTGCATAAGGAAAGCACAAACTCTTCCCCAGCAATCCTCAGAGCTCCTGGCAATCCACATTAAGGTCCCAAGGCTAAGGTTTTCATTTGAAAGCTACTGGCCTAGTTTCCTTGAATTTAGCTCCTTTTCCAAATCTATTTATGCTTTTGGCCTCCATAACATCCTGTTAAATTAGTTCAACAATTTAAGCTCTGAACTGCTTAAAAAAAAAAAAAAAAAAAAAGCTGCTTTTTAACTATTGTAACATCATAGAATCATTATCAAGGCTCGTTTGTTCTAATATCATATTTTCTTTATAATCAGGCTTACCTTAAAATTCCATTTGTCACCGACTTGCCTGCAGAGGTTTAGGTCCATCTCTGCCACCAGCAGCCCATCCTGAGTGCGAGAGAGTCCCGGGGTCCTGCTGCCGTCTGGTGCAGCTACGTAACTCGAGCCATAGAAGTGGCCCAACTCATGGTGTGCTTAGAGAGATTTTTAAAAAGCAGGTATTGCCATTTGCAAATAGGTATGTAACTTAACATGCAGTGTCCCACAAACCCTGACTCCATTTCTTGGGGACTCACTGTCCTTTAGGCAAGATAATCATCTTGAAGAGTCACAGCATGACCCTGAAATAACTGCAGTTTTGGCCAGTTATAATTTTCACGCACAGTACACTATCAAATTACCAGGAAAATCTCACTGCGTTGCCTTTCAAATAATGTACCATTATGCTTTTCCATTATTAGGTCTCAGGACTAAAGGCTTTGCTTTCATTGCTTTTTACTTAGCATTTAAATTAATTCTAATTATCAAATCACGCATTTTCAAAACTGCTGACAGAGATGCACCCATTCTGTTTTCAACAGAAGGTCAGAGGTGAAAACACTGGGATTTGAGGCACAGAAAAGATGTTATTTCATATTGCACAACTATGAGCTGTGCCAAAAATCAATCACATCTGTTGTACTACGAAGCAATGGATACCACTGACCTTTTTCATGCAGCTGCTAAAAAAACTATAGCTCCAAAACTGGCTAAAAAAGGCTCAGGCCCACTCTGGATGGAGCCACAAGCAGCCATGGTTTTCACAGCACCAATTATTGTGTTCCAACATATAAGTACATACAAGAAAATCTCATGGTCCTCATTGATCATTCTCTTTAAGTTCCAGCAAAGCTAGGAACTGGTACTGAATTCTGAACATACCTTTTCCACCATCTCCAGAAGTAAAGGCATTTTTGTAGTATTCCTGTGAAATAAGAGGAATCCATAGGTGGCAGTATAATCCCATTTCAGTCAAGAAATCCTCGCTAGCCTATCATATTTGGAAGTTTATATAAATCTACAAATATTTTTTTCTGGCACACAATCAGCCCTGTCTAAAGGGAGTCATCAGAGAGGCCTAGTTTCTGTGACAGATAGCACAGA